CCATATCATTGTGAGAAAATTCTACTATTAGTACTTCATCACCTTAGACGAAATAGGTTGAATAAATCTCATTGCACTGTTTATCTTGATCCATCTGTTTTGCTAATTGTTAAATGTTTGGATGCTACTCTGCGTCAAACGTCATTATATTCAAAAAGCAAAGCCAATTGAGATTCTACTCTTTTCATTTAAAAATCTACCAGTTTGGAACAAAAGGCTAGCATATTTTGGTAATAAATTAATTAACAGTTTCGATATAGCCTACACTCATCATACTCCCGTTATTATATTCATAACAGGATGCCTTGACGAGTAAGCGGATGGAAATTATCCTCGGAAGATGGGATGTTAAAGCGCACAAGGACTTCTTGGCTCAGAATCCTGCCTATAAGCCGAATACTGATCTAACAGAAAGAGCGCAAGTTTATACTAATTTCGATTGCTCACATTATCATCCTTAACTTTAGCCGCCTATACTAATCTATATTTTTCGTCTCATTATTCATAGGATTCTCAAAGCTTAGTAGGTCATCCATTTATGTTAAGCATTCAGTGCATCTTGATTATTTATGGGATAGACATCAATATGAATTTTTAAAAATTGTACTGCCATTTGGCAGGAGTATGTTCAATTACTCGCCGGCGGAGTAGTAACGAGCTAGGCTCTTTCATCCATTACATGATGGACACTACAAGAACTAGGACTAATTTTTAAAGGTGTCAAGCTAGCACTAGGTCAAGAAGTTGCAGTACCCTTCTGATTGGATAGTTGGCAAGTACAGAAGAGCATCAATACTGCAAAGCATCATATTTAACCTAAACCCAGGTTACTTTGTCACTAATTTGAATTGTGGTCAGTTCAAATTTAAATGTTGATTATAAATTAGCAGCTTTTGGGGAAGGGTCTCGAGTATTAAAAGTATAGATAGGAATCTCAATCCCGGAACGTTTATATTTGCTAATTATATGCGAATGAATGGAATTATTTTTTAACAAACTAGTGTAGCATATTTATTTTAACCCCATCATTTAAATTTAAATCAACCTGTCAGGCACGTCGTTCATTTTTACGGGGACGGAGATATTTGCGAATCAACGAACAA